ATAAGGCCCCGAGTTCAAACAGAAGGAGAGAGAGACAGAGACAGAGTGACAGAGAAAAAGAAAGATCATTCAAGCCCAGGCTGAGGTCTGAGGATTGAGGTTCAAAACCAGTCCTGAGACTCTTATCTCCAGTTAACGAGCAAAGAGACAGTAGGGGTATGGCCCAAGTAGTAGAATACTAACCTTGAATAGGAAAAGCTAAGCAACGATGTGAGGCCTTAAGTCCAGGCCCTAATATAGGCACAATTCCCCCACCTCACCCCTGCCCTTACCCCCTCCCCAAAATAGGATTCACTTCTCTGAAGCTACCTATGTAGAAAAAGGAAATGAACACATCATAAATATGGAGCCATTGAAGATCTAGATTATATAGTTTACTAACAAGAAAAATCAGTGTACTACAGGACTTTGATGTTCCAAAGGTCAGAACAGTTGGGAAATCTTTGGCAGTACTTGGGAAAATCTCTTTTGAAACTTGGTTGTGGACAGTCGCTTCAGCATAATGAAGACTGAACTTTCATCTTAGACTAATCTGGGGTAGAATTACATCAGTCTTTGTTTTGTTGTTACTATTGTTGTCATTTGAGGTAGGATCTCAATATTTAGCTCAGGCTGACCAGGATCTTAGTATATAGTCCAGACCAGCTTCAAACTCACAGTCTTCTTGTTTTAGCCTCCCAAGTGCTAGGAGTGCAGGTGTGATCACTACACCCAGCCACAATTCTTATGATTTATTAGGTTACTCTAAATGTGAAAAGGGTTGGTTTTTTTTTTTTTGTGCCAGTTCTGGGGCTTGAACTCTAGGTGTGGGAGTTGCCCATTACATTTTTTTTTTTGGTCCAGGCAAATGTTCTACCACTTGAATCACAGCTCCACTTCCACCTTTGCTTTTTTGGTGGTTAATTGAAGATAACAATTTCATGAACCTTCCTGCCCAGGCTGGCTTTGAACCTTGATCCTCAGATCTCAGCCTCCTCAGTAGCTAGGATTGCAGGTATTAGCTACCAGCAACTCAGCCTACAAGTTCTTTTTTAAAGTAAGGAAAAATATTGACTACTCCATAATGCTCATCTGTGGAAATAGACAGTATGTTAGGATGAAATCCCAAAGTATCTTGAAAACTTAGAATAAATCATATGGCTCAAATAAAAGGGATAATGTCAGATACCAATAGAAATAACATAGCTATTTTAGTTTGGATCTTGAGTATTCCTCAAAAGGTCCATTTGCTGGACATTTGGTTCAGTTTGGCACAGTTGTGAGGTGGGATACACATGAAGATGTGGGGTCTAGCGGGAGGATCGTTAGAGGTGTACCCTTAAAGAAGACTCTTTGGCCTTCCTCATATCTCTTTTGCTTCCAGCCATGGATGAGTGGCTTTGCCTAACTATTACTTCCCAGTTGTGTTGCCCCAAAACCAGGTAACCTTGGACTTAAACTTCCAAAACAGTGAGCCAAAATAAATCTTGATTATTTCAGCCTTTCTAAAAGGATAAACCAAAATAACCTTTTTCTCCTAAGTTGAGTTCCTCAGATGGAAGAGCATGGGCCACCAGTGCCTGGCTCTCTCTCTTTTCATACTTTTTATGCTAGAACTGGAGCTTGAATTCATACTTGATGGGGCTAGGAATATAGTTTAGTGTTAGAGTGCTTACCTATCATTCAGGAAGCCCTGGGTTTGAATACTCAGTACCGCATAAACAGAAAACGCCAGAAATGGTAGAGCAAGAGCAAAAGCTCAAGTGGTAGAGCATTAGTCTTGAGCACAGAGAGGCTCTGGAACAGTGCCCACGCCCTGAGTTCAAGCCCCGGGACTGACAAAAACAACAACATAAAAAATCCAAAACCCACAAATTACCATTGAGACTCGCTAGAAATGAAAACATACATACATTTGGAAATTATTAGTAGTATTAACCAGTAACTCATCACTTACTTAATTCTGTAAAACCCTATAAAAATCTAGAAAGAAAAATAATCCAAGAGCGGAGTACCAGTGGCTCATGTCTATAATCCTAAATACTCAGGAGGCTGAGATCTGAGGATCAAGATTTAAAGCCAGCCTAGGCAGGAAAATCTGTGAGACTCTTTTATTCTTTCTTTCTTCTTCTTCTTCTTATTTTTTTGGTTGGTCGTGGGCCTGAACTCTGGGCCTGGGCGCTGTCCCTCAGCTCTTCTGCTCAAGGCTAGCACTCTACCACTTGAGCCATAGCACCACTTCTGGATTTTTCTGCTTATGTGGTGCTGAGGCATCGAACCCAGGGCTTCATGCATGCAAGGCAAGCACTCTACCACCGAGCCACTTTCCCAGCCTGTCTGTAAGACTCTTAACTCCAGTTAAAAAAAAAACAAAACTGGGTGTTTAACTGGTGGTAGAGTGCCAGCCTTGAGCATGAAAGCTCAGGGACAGCTCTCAAGCCTCAGTACCAGCAGAGAGAGGTGGGAGGGGGTGAGGAAGGGGATATAGGAAGAGAGGGAGAGGGAAAGGAAGAGATCAGTTACAAAGGATGAAAGAAACAAGAGGAAATAAAAATTACAAACTATTTTTGTTTTGCCTTTTTTATTTAGTTATACAAAGGGATTTCAGTTCAACACATCCATTTATGAATAGAATAAGAACTACACACAGGGACTATGAATGTGGCTTAGTGGTAGAGTGCTTGCCTAGCATGCATGAATGGGTTCGATTCTTCAGTACCACAGAAACAGAAAAATCTGGAAATGGCACTGTGGTGAAGAGCTCAGGGACAGTGCCCAGACCCTGAATTCAACTTCCGGGACTGGCAAAAAAAAAAAGAGAGAGAGAGAGAAGCTGTGTTTGAGGGCACATACCTATGTGGAGGCAGGAGGCATACTTTTTTGTTGTTGATGGTCATGGGGCCTGAACTCTGGGCTTGGGCACTGTTCCTCAGCTCTTCAGCTCAAGGCTACCACTTGATCCACAGTGCCACTTATTGGAGATAAGAGTTTCATGGACTTTCCTGAACCTCAATCCTAGAACTCAGCCTCCTGAGTATCTAGAATTTTTTTTTGCGGGGGGGTCCAGTTGTGGGGCCTGAACTCTGGGCCTGGGCACTTCTGGCTTTTTTTTCTTTTTGCTTATGTGGTGCTGAGGAATCGAACCCAGGGCCTCATGCATGCAAGGCAGGCGCTCTACCACTGAGCCACCTTCCCAGCCCAGACTAAACACTTTTAACTCCAGGAGGCTAGCCTAAGATACTCAGGGAGACATTATTTCAAAAAAAGGCCTAGATACTAATGTTGAGACTGTAGCCTTGACATGTAGGAGAGCCTGGGAAATCAAGAAAGTCACATTGAGCCTCATGATGCCTCATGCCTATAATCCTAGCAGTTCAAGAGGCTGAGATCTGAGGATCTCAGTTCCTAGCCATTCAAGAGGCTGAGATCTGAGGATCTCAGTTCGACATCAGCCTGTGAAGGAAAATTCCTGAGATTCTTTTTTTTCTTTATCTTTTTTATTTCATTATTATTGTGAGATTCTTTTGTGTGTGTGTGTTTGGTCGTGGGGTCTGAACTCTGGGCCTGGGCGCTGTCCCTCAGCTCTTCAGCTCAAGGCTAGCGCTCTACCACTTGAGCCACAGCACCACTTCCCCCTGCTTGTGTAGAGCTGAGGAATCGAACCCAGGGCCTCATGCATGCAAGGCAAGCACTCTACCACTGAACCACCTTCCCAGCCCATGAGCTTTTTGCTCAAGGCTAGCACTCTACCACTTCAGCCACAAAGCCACTTCCAGCTTTTTTTGTTTATGTGGTACTGAGGAATTGAACCCAGGGCTTCATGAATACTAGGCAAACACTCTACCACTAAGCTACATGCCTAGACCCAAGAGACTAATTAATCAGCAGAAAGCCAGAAGTGGTGCTGTGGCTCAAAGTGGTAGAATGCTAGCTTGAAGGGAAAAAGCTCAGGGTTGTTGTAGAGGCCCTGAGTTCAAACCTCATGACCGATAGAAAAACAAATTATATTGGAGTTTGGTTTAGTCCTCATTTATTCACACAGGAAGATACCTTCTCAGAGTCTTTACTTCCTCACAAAAAAAGGCAAGTGGGTTCTTCTCTAAGGTCCTTTCTAGCATGGTGATTTTAAGGTATACTGCATGTTTATCTCAGGTAATATAATAGTTTATTTATAGTTTATTATTTTTTATTATTACACATTTATTAGCAAAAAGCTATTCACATGAAATTATTAAAGTTTCACTCCCTGTGTTTCAAGTGAGAAGCAGAAAATCAGAATTCAATTTTTAAGTCAAAATAAGATGAATAGTATCATAAAGCTCAATATTCACAATAGTGAAATACATTGTATTTTATATTGCATTTAGTGAAAAATATAATGGGATATTAGAACCAAAAGAATTATTTGACAGAGAGAGAAGCAGATGGGGGTGGGAAGGAGATTATAAAATAGTATGTTTCAGTGACAATCACTCCATGACAACTATGTACTTAAAATTGGTGAAACATATTGCAAATATTATAGCCTGGGTAAAAAGTCTAGCCCAATATCAGAACAACCAAATGATTTTGAATTTCGTAAAGTCATATGTTGAGGAAGTTAAGAATTTTTCCCCTTTTCCTGGTGCTCCAGTCCTAAAGGGGAGCTTCTTTTAAAAAATTACATACAAATCAAGGGCCAGTGGCTCATGCCTGTAATCCTAGTTGGTCCAGAGCCTGAGATCTGAGGATAGTGGTTCAAAGCCAGCCTCGACAAGAAAGTCCTTGAGACTCTTACCTCCAATTAACTACCAAAACAAAAAACAAAAAATACTCTACTACTTGAGCTGCTCAAGTGGTAGAATGCTAGCTAAAACAAAACAAAACAAAAAAACCCCACAAACCTCAGAGGTAGTATCCAGGCCATGAGTTTAAGCCCCAGTACTGGAAAAAAATAAATTATATATATATATATATATATATATATGTATTTAGCAATATTTTATGAAAAAAGAGATACCCATATGGAAGGACAATTTAACTTAGTATTTCTTCTTCATTTTGTTTTTTATAGCAGACATATTAATTTCATCTTGAACATGATATGCCAGATATCCTGAGCTTCCGGGAATGAAGTCATGTAATTCCCCAAGGTATTTCTTCATGGCATCAATTGATATATAATCTATAAATAATAGAAAAATATATTTGAAATCCTACCATACTATCTGCTTTTCAGTGTGTTCTATTTGTTAAATTTTTAAAAGATTATTTAAAAAAAACTAAGAAGAAATAGTTTCAGTAAGAAGATTCTTTATGAAATCTATAGTTGATGAGAAATATACTCTTTCCTCACCCTAAACCTTCTATTTTTAAACCTTCTATTTTTAAAACAAAGATTCCTGATTAGCCCTTTAACTACTGGAAGTGTGACATCTAGATGTAAGCTGTAACATAAAAGAACCTAGAACAAAATAACTGTAACTGGCTTAGAAGGTGACCACTTTGAACTACCTGTACAAAGATTCACTAACAGCACAAACGACTTATCTTCCCCACTAGAACAGGCCACACTTTCTGGTGCTGCTAATGTTGAGATAACAGGCTTTAGTGGAAAAAAAAAAAGGGTAAATCTATATTACTCAACAAAGGTTATGGGTGTGAGCAATTTTTATGTAATTAATAATCTGGAATAGATATGATTATCAAAGAAAGAAACCCTATCCAAAAGCTGGAAACCTAAGGTTTCAATGTTATGTAACAATTATTTGAATGAATACACTTTATGTGTAATGCAAATGTTCGTGGTTTACTCTAAAATTTAAATTAATTTAAAAGTAATTACTATGAAAAAAAATTCTAGTAGAGTTCCAGTGATTGAATTTACTATGAGGAGCCTGAGCTAGTACTACATCTTGTGAGGTATGAGTTATGCAGCTGACCATGAGCCCGACCTGGGAATGAGCAGATAAAAACAATTCCTGGCGGGGGCTGGGAAGGTAGCTCAGTGGTAGAGTGCTTGCCTAGCATGCATGAGGCCCTGGGTTCAATTCCTCAGCACCACATAAACAGAAAAAGCCGGAAGGGGCTCTATGGCTCAAGGGGTAGAGTCCTAGCCTTGAGCTGAAGAACTGAGGGACAGTGCCCAGGTCCAAAGTTTAGGTCGAAATAAACAACAAAACAATTCCTGGCAACTAGGGACATAAACAATCCTTGGGCAAATTGCAGGCAGGTGCTGGAGGGCATGGTGACCCAGTAATCAGACCACAGATGGTATTTGTTTGAGAAAGGAACCTTGCAGTTCAGCACATATCTCCTAGAGACTCCCCTGTGGTGCCAGCCAACCAGTTTAAAGTACTTCAGCCCTTTGATCTAACCAACAACCTGTTTCTGGTCCTTTCCCGCTTTGTAGTGGGACAATTACACTATAGAGTTGTTTTATGATTTTCCCATGATGTGTAGTGATATGTTACAAGATGCTATGATGTGTGCAAAGTCCCTGCCCTCCCTAAAAAGTGTATAAAAAGTGCTGTAACCCTGGGCTGGGGGCCTCTTAGCATCACCAGTTACCTGGTGCTTGGAGGACCAAGCTTGAGCTTGCAATAAACGACTCTTTTGCTGTTTACATTGATCTTGGTCTCTGGTGGTCTTTGGGGCATGGGGGGGGGTCCTCCAGTCCAAGTACAACAACTACAGCACTACCACCAATACCAACAGAATAAATATGTAATTTAAGTTCATAGGTTAAGAATTAACTTTGAAAAAAAAAAAAGAATTAACTTTGAGGGGCTGGGAAGGTGGCTCAGTGGTAGAGCACTTGCCTTGCATGCCTGAGGCCCTGAGTTAGATTCCTCAGCACCACATAAGCAAAAAGAAAAAAGCCAGAAGTGGTGCTGTGGCTCAAGTGGTAGAGCCCTAGCCTTGAGCTGAAGAGCTGAGGGACAGTGCCCAGGCCCAGAGTTCAAGCCCCATGACCAACCATAATAAATAAATAAATAAACCGTACTTTTAGTCCAATCACATTTCAGTACAGTTGTCTATGTTTCAGTTTCGACTATGGCTTCAATTTTGACCATGCAGTGAAGTCTCCCTAAAAATGGCAAACAGAGGCTGGGAATTTGGCTTGGTGGTAGAGTACTTGTCTAGCATGCATGAAGTCCTGGGTTCAATTCCTCAGCACCACATAAAAAACCAGAAATGAAACTGTAGCTCAAGTAGTAGAGCACTAGCGTTAAGCAAATGAAGCTGGGGGACAGTTCCTAGTCCCTGAGTTCAAGCCCCAGGACCAGAAAAAAAAAAAAGGCAAGCCAGGACTGGGGCTCACACCTGTAATCCTAGCTAATCAGGATGCTGAGATCTGAGGATTGCAGTTCAAAGCCAGCCTGGTCAAGAAAGGGACACAGTGATGTGAAGGGTAAACAAAGGAGGAGGCTGCAATGCTTGGTAAGAAATGTACGCATTATCCTGCCCATGCAATTGTAACCCCTCTGTACAGTATTTTCACAAATAAAATAAAATAAAAAAAAGAAAGGGACACAGTACCCAGGCTCTGAATTCAAGCCCAGGACATGCAACAAACAAACAAACAAATAATCAAATAGTGGCATTTTGGAGAAAGAATTGTAGATGTTCCTGACCCTTTCTCCTGTACCTGGCTTTGTGCATGTCTTCATCCATATCCTCACTTACAATTATCTATATACTAATAGCCATATTTGATTGGTTTCCTTACGTTTTATTCTCTCAATTTCAGCCTCGTTTATCTGTCTTCTCTTTTTTCTTTTGGTTGGTCATGGGACTTGAATTCTGGTCCTGGGTGCTGTCCCTCAGCTCTTCAGCTCAAGGCTAATGCTCCACTACTACATGAGCCACAGCACCGCTTCCAGTTTTCTGAATGGTTTATTGGAGATAAGAGTCTCACAGACTTTCCTGTCTGGGCTGGCTTTGAACTGTGATCTTCAAACCTCAGCCTCCTGAGTAGCTAGGATTATAGATGTGAGCCACCGGGGCCTGGCTCTCTGTTTTCTCATTATACAGGGTAACCATGTAGGAAAGCAACAAGCCATTAATGGACTTTTGGATATCCGTAAGTCTCCTTAAATTACATATAAAATTTGGCTATTTTGCGTGTGTGTGTGTGTGTGTGTGTGTGTGTGTGTTCTCTTGTGTGCATGACTGAGGTTGTCCGTATACTTAGATTCCAAATTAGGGTATTTAATTAGGACATTACATTGACACAAAGTATTTTTGAGGCCACCAGTTTCATTCCCACGGGGGCGGGGGGAACCTGATTTCAAAATAATGGGCATAAATTGTAACTGTATAAGTAGGGTCAAATGTTCACTTTATCTAAACAAGTATTTGGGTCCGGTCATGGGGCCTGAACTCTGGGCCTGGGCACTGTCCCTCAGCTCTTCAGCTCAAGGCTAGTGCTCTACCACTTGAGCCACTGCGCCACTTCTGGCTTTTTTTCTTTTTGCTTATGTGGTGCTGAGGAATCGGACCCAGGGCCTCATGCATGCAAGGCAAGCGCTTTACCACTGAGCCACCTTCCCAGCCCTAAACAAGTATTATTATAAGTACAGAAAATATGAGTCCCATCCTTGGGTCAATTCTGCAGGCCAATTTTTTTAACATATAAATGATGCCTTGCCATTATCATGTACAATAGAGGAGGCTACACATTTGAAGTACAATAGCAGTTTTATTCTTGACACTCTTTGTTTCATCCCTAGCTGGATTTACTCTAAATTTTATTTTAAGTTACCTGTTACCATGTTGTTCACGGGATAATTCTGAAGAGGGAAATACATCTGCTTTTCTATAACTGGAGTCTTTATAAAATGCTTTTCTGTGCTATAAAATGAAACATAGATATATGATATTGGATTATGTATTATAAATTTTGGATTTATATTACAAATTAAAAGTTATTCTAAACCGGGCACTGGTGGCTCACTCCTATAATCCTAGCTACACTGGAGGCTGAAATCTGAGGATCATGGTTCAAAGCCAGCCCAGGTATGAAAATCAGTGAGACTTTTTTTTTTTTTTGGGTCCGGTCGTGGGGTGTGAACTCTGGGCCTGGGCGCTGTCCCTCAGCTCTTCAGCTAGCGCTCTACCACTTGAGCCACAGCTCCACTTCTGGCTTTTTTTCTTTTTGCTTATGTGGTGCTGAGGAATGGAACCCAGGGCCTCAGGCATGCAAAGCAAGTGCTCTACCATTGAGCTACCTTCCCAGCCCTTCAGTGAGAAAACCAGAAAACCAGAAGTTGTACTATGGCTCAAGTGATAGAGTGCTAGCCCAAAATAATGTTTTAACTCATTTAACCTTCAGATTTGGGGAACATACTAGGAAGGAAAAACAGCACAGTGGTTGAGAGTTTAAAATATGGACCAGCTAGACTAGTTTTCAAATTCAACTTCTGTCCTTGAATAACATTGGATAAATTATTTAGCTCTCTAAGTATGTTTCCCCAATTGTAAAATGGGGTTGTATTTACTTATAAATGGAAGAAGCAAATGAAATGTTGTGAGTTTAGCTCACTAATATGTTGTATTTAGCAAGTTTTCAATAATAATTTACCACTTAGTAAGTGCTTAGTATAGCTAGTAGTATGCCACTAAAATAAATGCTTCATAGGTAGGTTACAGATATATTTATGGTCACCATATACCTTTGATGGTTCTGACAAAGAAAAGGCTCCGAGCTGAGAAAGTGACTTAGTGGTAGAGTGCTTACCTAGTGTGCATGAAGCCCTGGGTTTGATTCCTCAGTACCACATAAACAGAAAAAGCTGGAAATGGCACTGTGGCTAAAGTGTTAGAATGTTAGTCTTGAGCAAAAGAAGTTCAGGGAAAGTGCCTGGGCCCTGATTTCAAGCCTCAGGACTGGAAAAAAAAAGTTTCTAGATAAGACACTTGAGGTATAGTTATATACTTAGTGGTTTCTTCTTTTCCTCCCCATCTTCCCCTGTTTTTCCCCTTCCTTTTCTTTTTCTTTATCTCTCTCCAATTCTTTTTTTGAGGATCCCACTAAGGATGTAGCCCAAGGCTCCCTTGAATTCACAGTTCTCTTAATTCAGCCTCCCAAGTGCTGGGATCACAATCATGTACCAGCAAACCCGCAGTCACACTTAATCATTTTTAATTCTAGATTTCTTTTTCTGTAAATGGGATGATAATATCAATCCCACAGGAAACTCAGTGCATGAAGATAGCTAGCTATAATGAAGTATATAAATTCAATACCTTTTGAATAAATTTTGTGTGTGCTCGTTTGTTAGTTCACCACTTTCCCTCAGGGTTGTTACTTCATTTGATGCTACTTCCTCATTCTACAGACAGAAAAATAAATCACATTTGAAAAATTCAGCATACCAATGAACCAGTGTTTTTAAGGAAAAAAATAAAATGACAGATATACCAAAAGTCTTAAACATCTTTATACTTTTAGCCCCATTCAGTCTAGGGTTTTTTTGTTTGTTTTTGTCGGTTGTAGGGCTTGAACTCTGGGCCTGAGTGCTGTCCCTGAGCTCTTCAGTTCAAGGCTACTGCTCTATCATTTGAACCGCAGTGTCACTTCTGGAGTCCTGGTGGTTAATTGGAGATAAGAGTCAGGGACTCTTCTGCCCAGGCTGGCTTTGAACCTGGATCCTCAGATCTCAGCCTCCTGAGTAGCTAGGATTACAGGTGTGAGCCACCAGCACCTGGCTTTTAGTCTAGCTTAGTAGAGATGCTTACAATATTTTGTATACACACTGATACAATGATATATACTACACAATTTTAGTACAGAAAAAAGACCATATTTTTTTTTAATTCCAGGGTGAGATTATAATAGATAAGTAAAGCTTTGGTTGTGATAGTCTTATTACTTCTTAGTCTTTAAAAAATAAGGAAATAGGTATCTTGGATCCTGTATTGAGACCAGGCCTTGGGAGGTTGAGGGAGAAGCACTGACTAGTTTGAGGCCTTCCTGAGCTAATATAAGCCATAGGTAAATTAATACAGGTAAATAAGACTACATATAAGTCACAGGCACAGCTAAATTTGAGCAAGATGGCAAAAACTAAAAACAGTATTTTATACATTTCTTGAGAAGTACTAATTTAACAAATGTTACAGCAAGGAATTAATCAGAATTTACACCGGCAGGAAATAGCTGATAATTACCATGTACTACTGTTCCCTAAATATTAGTGACAAAAAAATTCACAACTTTTTAACATGAGTACTTCTGTTTACTCACAGAACAGGGCTAAGGGAATAGTTCAGGTGGTAGAACAACCTAGCAAGCATGAAACTTTGAGTTCTAACCCTAATACTGCAAAACAAAACAAAAAAAACTCCAAATCTTGAATTTTGTCAGTGCACTACTACAAAAACAATGTCTAGCCAAATAATATTAAAGAAAACCATGCCCTTTAAAATCCTTAATTTGGCTGATTACTACTAACATCTTGCAAGCAAACTGTGTGGTGTGTTTGTGCGTGCGTGCATGCATGTGACAGTGCTGGAAATTGAATTTAGAGCCTGGGCACTCTCCCTTAGGTTTTGGATTCAAGCTGGTACTCTAGTATTTGATCTAAAGCTCCACCAAAATCTTTTTGCTGATTAGTTGGAGATAAAAATCTCTAGCCCTAAACCACCAGGGCACAGATGGCTCACGCCTGTAATCCTAGTGGCTCCAGCATAGAGCGCCTTGAGCTGAAGAGCTGAGGGACAGCGCCCAAGCCCAGAATTCAAGCCCCACAACCGGGGTGGGGTGGGAGTGGGGGTGGGGGGAATCTCCAGCCCTGTGCTGGTGGCTCATGCCTGTAATCCTAGCTACTCAGGAGAGTGAGATTTTAGGATTGCAATTCAAAGCTAGCCCAGGCATGAAAAGTTTATGAGACTCTTTTTTTTGGGTCTGGGTCCGGTCATGGGGCCTGAACTCTGGGCCTGGGTACTGTCCCTCAGCTCTTCAGCTCAAGGCTAGCGCTCTACCACTTGAGCCACAGCACCACTTACGGCTTTTTTCTTTTTGCTTATGTGGTGCTGAGGAATTGAACTCAGGGCCTCATGCATGCAAGGCAAGCACTCTACCACTGAGCCACCTTCCCAGCCCCTCCAAGAGACTCTTATCTCCAGTAAAACACTCAGAAAAACAGAAGTGGTGCTGTGGGTCAAGTGGTAGAGGGCTAGCCTGGAGCTGAAGAGCTGAGGGACAGCGCCCAGGCCCAGAGTTCAAGTGCCACAACTGACATAAAAAAAAAAAAAAATCTTCCTGTCTAGGCTGGCTTCAAATGACAGTTCTCAGCTGGGCACCGGTGGCTCATTCCTGTAATCCTAGCTACTCAGGAGGCTAAAATCTGAGGATTGTGGTTCAAAGTCACCCCAGGCAGGAAAGAATGTGAAATTCTTATCTCCAATAAACCACTCAAAAAACTGGAAGTGGTGCTGGTAGAGTGCTAGCCTTGAGCTGAAATGCTCAGGGACAATACCTGGGCTGAGTTCAAGCCCCATGACCTACAAAAACAGAACAAACAAACAAAAAACCCCACAGTCCTCAGATCTCAGCCTCCTGAGTAGCTGGATTACAAGAATAGGCCAGCAGTGCCTGGCTCAGGAAGATATTTTTAAGACTTCATTGCTTTCAGAAAATTTTCAAATGCTAGGTTTCAGAGAAGTATTCACATTTATTCTTACCTTTTCTGTCTGAAAATGTTGATCTTGTTCCCAAATAAAACCACCAATTTTTCTTCTTATTTCTGTGGTGAGAACAGCAAATTCAATACAAGTAATTTACCAGTGGCTCATTCCTGTAATCCTAGCTACTCAGGAGGCTGAGATCTAAGAAACACAGTTCAAAGTAGGCAGAAAGGTTCATGAGACTCTGGTCTCTAATTACCACCAAAAGGGAGAATTGGAACTATGGCTCAAAGGGCAGAGTACTAGCCTTGAGCAAAAAGCTTCAGGAACAATGTCCAGGCTCTGAGTTCAAGCCCCAGGACTGGAACAAAAATAAAACCTATTTGTACTAATTGGTGAGTAACCATTAATCTTAGAATGACTATCTGACCTGATGTGATCTTTTTTTTTTTTTTTTTTTTTGTCAGTCGTGGGGCTTGAACTCTGAGCCTGGACACTCTCCCTCAACTTTTTAGCTCAAGGCTAGCACTCTACCACTCAAGCCACAGCACCACTTTTGGTTTTCTGGAAGTGGCACTGTGACTCAAGTGGTAGAGCACTAGCCCTTTTTTTGTTGTTGTTGTTGGTCATGGGGCCTGAACTCTGGGCCTGGGTGCTGTCCCTCAGCTCTTCAGCTCAAGGCTAGCACTCTACCACTTGAGTCACAGTGCCACTTACTTCTGGCTTTTTCTGCTTATGTGGTGCTGAGGAATCAAACCCAGGGCCTCATGCATGCAAGGCAAGCACTCTACACCTGAGCCACCTTCCCAGCCTGAGCAGTAGCCTTTAACACAAGGAGTTTCATGGACTTTTCTGCCCAGGCTGCCTTTGAACTGTGATCTTCTGATTTTAGCCTCCTGAGTAGCTAGGATTACAGGCATGAGCCATCGGTGCCCAGCTTGATTTTTATTTATTTATTTATTTATTGTATGTGTTTGTCTTAGGGCTTGAACTCAGGGCCTGAGCTCTGTCCTTGAGGACTTGTTCAGGTTATATTTTTGCTCTATCACTTGAGCCATAGCCCCACTTACATTTTTTTTGTGGTTTATTAGAAATAAGAGTCTCATGGACTTTTATGCCCAACTGGTTTCAAACCCAGATTCTTGGATCTCAGTCTCCTAAATAGTGAGGATTACAAGTGTAAGTTACCGGCACCCAGCACAAATAGTTTTTAATAGAGTTTGAGACCAATCTATGCTACATATTAGCACCTTGGGCTACCTAGCAGCACCTTGACTGGAACATTTTTGAATAAGTGTTTCCCATCTAGTCATTAATTGATTTGTATAATCACTGAACATATTTTAATATTATAACTAGGTCTCACTGGGATACCAAGTATGGATGAAAACATTTTTTCTGGGGTTCTAAATGCTCCTTGTAAAAGTGTTTTTTAAACTTTTTAGTTTAAAAAAGTTTGTCCGTCATGGGGCTTGAACTTAGGGCCTGAGCACTGTCCCTGAGGTGTTCTGCTTAAGGCTCTACCACTTTGAGCTACAGTGCTGCTTCCAGTTTCCTGGTGGTTAATTAGAGATAAAAGGCTCATGGAGCTGGGCACCGGTGGCTCACACCTGTAATCCTAGCTACTCAGGAGGCTGAGATCTGAGGATCACAGTTCAAAGCCAGCCTGGGCAGGAAAGTCCATGAGACTCTTAACTCCAATAAACCACTAGAAAACCAGAAGTGGAGTTGTGGCTCAAGAGGTAGAGAGTTCGCCTTGAGCTGAAGAGCCCAGGGACGTCGCCCAAGCCCAGAGTTCAAGCCCCAGAACCAACCAAAAAAAAAAAAAAAGGCTCATGGATTTTCCTGCCTGGGTGGTTTTGAACCACATTGCTCAGATCTCAGCCTCCTGACTAACTAGGATTACAGGTTGGAGCCACTGCTGCCTGGCCTTGCTTTTATTTTTAATACTCTTCTCACTAGGACATAATATATAGCTTCACTCTGTCTATCTGTATATAGACCTGTATTTTTCAGGTAAACAAGAGACACATCAAGAATTAGGCAATAGCCATGCAAGGTGGCTCACACCTGTAATCCTAGTACTCAGGAGCCTGAGATTTCAGGATTGGGCTTTGAAGCCAGCTTGAGCAGGAAAGCCCATGACACTCATCTCCAATTAAACATCAGAAAGCCAGAAAAGGGGCTGGGAAGGTGGCTCAGTGGTAGAGCGCTTGCCTTGCATGCATGAGGCCCTGGGTTCGATTCCTCAGCACCACATAAGCAAAAAGAAAAAAGCCGGAAGTGGCGCTGTGGCTCAGGTGGTAGAGCGCTAGCCTTGAGCTGAAGAGCTGAGGGACAGCACCCAGGCGCAGAGTTCAGGCCCCACGACTGGACCCCCTAAAAAAAAAAAAAGCCAGAAAAGGAGCTGTGATAGACTGCTAGCCTTGAGCAAAAGCCTCAGGAATGGCACCTAGGCCCTGAGTTTAAGCCCCAGGATTGGTGCGCATGCACACATGCATACACACACACATACACACAGAACTGGACAATGTAAGACTTTAAAAACCTGATATTGAAGTTACCTCAGAAAAGCTAGGTAGAATCTAAACAGAACAGAGTAAGATGTGCCAAGCAGGAAAATGGAAAGACCCAATCTCAGAAGCAAGTGTTTTTTGTTGTTATTGTTGTTTTCTTCTTTTGTTTTGTTTTTGGTCACAGGGCTTGAACTCTGAGTCTGGATGTGTCCCTGAGCTCTTCTGTTCAAGGCTAGCACTCTACCACTTTGAGCTATAGTACCATTTCCAGTTTTGTGGTGGTTTATGGGAGATAAGAGTCTCATAGGCTGGGTGCCAGTGGCTCATGCCTGTAATCTTAGCTACTCAGGAGACTAAGATCTGAGGATCATGGTTCAAAGCCAGTCCAAGCAGGAAAATCTGTGACTCTTATCTCCATTAAATTACTCAGAAAAAGCTGGAAGTGGCACTGTGACTTGAGTGGTAGAGCGCTAGCCTTAAACACAAAGAGGTTCAGACCCTGAGTTCAAGCCCTAGGACCAGGGGGAAAAAAAGAGTTTCATGGAGGGCTTGGAAGTTGGTTAAGTGGTAGAGTGCTTGCCTTGAATTCATGAGGCCCTGGGTTCGATTCCTCAGTACCACATAAGCAGAAAAAGCCAGAAGTGGTACTGTGGCTCAAGTGGTAGAGCGCTAGCCTTGAGCTGAAGAGCTGAGGGACAGCGCCCAGGCCCAGAGTTCAGGCCCCACAACCAACCAAAAAAAAAAACAAAACATCTCATGGACTTTTCTGGCCAACTGTGATCATCAGATCGTAGCTAGGATTTACAGGCATGAGCCACCGGTGCCCAGCTCAGAAGCAGTTTTTCATTTGTCTTTGCACTTCACAGGGTTGCTGAAAAAAATGTGAAAGTACTTTTTTTTTGGGGGGGGGGTCCAGTTGTGGGGCCTGAACTCTGGGCCTGGGCACTGTCCCTCAGCTCTTCAGCTCAAGGCTAGCACTCTACTACTTGATCCACAGCACCACTTCTGGCTTTTTTCTTTTTGCTTATGTGGTGCTGAGGAATCGAACCCAGGGCCTCATGCATGCAAGGCAAGCACTCTACCACTGAGCCCCTTCCCAGCCCTTATTATATATTTCAAAACAACAAGAATTCAAGTGTTCAAAACAACAAGAATTCAAGTGTTCCAAACACATAGAAATAACATGCTTGAGGGAATGGAAATGATTGCCCCAATTTGATCATTATGCATTGTACACATATATTGAATTAAAGTGTGCCTGATAAATATGTACAAATACCAAGTGTCAATTAAAAATTTAAATAATGTTCAGGTGCAGTGGCAGAATATCTGTAATCCCAGCTTCTTGGAGGCTGAACCAGAAGTAGCAGAAGCTTGAGGATAGCCGGAGCAATGTAGTAAGACTCTAAAACCAAACCAAACCAAACAAAAAAACCCAACCACTTATTTTTTTCCAATTCAGAGGCTTGAATTTAGACACCATTTGGAAGCTTTTATTGCTCAATGTTAATACTCTACTTCTTGAACCACAGCTCTGCTTCCAGCTTTTTGGTAGTTAACTGGACATAAGAGTCTCATGGGGCTGGGAATGTGGCTTAGTGGTAGAGTACTTGCCTAGCATGCATTAAACCTTGGGTTCCATTCCTCAGTACACATAAACAAAATTAGCCAGAAGTGGCACTGTGGCTCAAGTGATAGAATGCTAGTCTTGAGCAAAAGAAGCTTGGGGATAGTGCCTAGGCCCTGAGTTCAAGCCCTAAAACTACCCCTCCTTCCCCCAAAAAAGTCTTATGGAATTTCTTGCTTGGGTTGACTTTGAACTGCACCTCTCAAATATCACCCAGCTCAAAAATATGTTTTTGTATAGTGTAGGGGTTTGAACGCCGGGCCTCACACTTGCTAAGTGTGAGGCTCTACCACTTGAGCCATACCACCAGCCCTACAAAGAATTTATTTAAAAAAATTGGGCCAGGCATTGGTGGCTCAGGCCTATAATCCTAGCTACTTGGGAGGCTGAGATCTGAGGACTGAGGTTCAAAGCCAACCTGGGCAGGAAAGTTCATGAGACTCATCTCCAATAAACCACCAGAAAACTGGAAGTGGTGCCGTGGCTCAGGTGGTAAAGCACTCGCCTTGAGCTGAGGAGTGCAGGGACAGCACCCAAGCTCAGAGTTCAAGCCCCACAATAGACAAAAAAAAAAAAAAAATAAAGGCAGGGCATAGGGACTGAAGCCTGTAATCTTACCTACTTGGGAGATGATCTAAGGAATCAAGGTTTGAGGCTAGTCCCAGACAAAAATAATAATTAATGAGACTGCATTTCATTCAGTGACTGGATGTAGTGGCACACACCAGTCATCCCAGAACTTGGGGAAGCATAAATAGGAGGATCACAGTCCAGGCCAACTTGTGCATAAAGCAGGACACTATCTCAAGAATAACCAAGACAAAAATCTATCATATTTAGGCCGGGCGCTGGTGGCTCACGCCTGTAATCCTAGCTACTCAGGAGGCTGAGATCTGAGGATCGTGGTTCAAAGCCAGCCCGGGCAGGAAAGACCGTGAGACTCCTATCTCCAATAAACCACCAGAAAACCGGAAGTGGCGCTGTAGCTCAAGTGGTAGAGCGCTCGCCTTGAGCTGAAGAG